GGAATAAATTTGCTCACCTTTTATGGATTAAAATATGACACTCCTCAAGTCACCAGGTCCTTTTAAATATCTTTCATGGTAACAGCCCCTTAACACACCAGAAGAGAAGAAAACTCTGGAATAGAATCTACATGTACTCAAGACTATGTCTACTTATAGTCCAAAAGCATGAAACAGAAGCAGCTTGTATGGGTCTACTCATCTTAACTATTACCAGTTGGGACAAAGAACCAGAAGTAAGTCACTTTGTCTAAAAACTAACAAAGGAAACCGCCTGGCTAAAGAACTGGCATGAGAAGACAGGGAGACAGGAGATAGAAAACGTTGACTCCAAACATGTGGACCCACACATCAGTGCTGAAGTTTAAAATCCAGGAAAGGAGAAAGGAATGGGACCCACACAGGTTAGCACTCTAAGAACCTATAGCTTCCTCTTTGCTTCCTCAGCTCTATTTGTAATGTGTGTTTAAGCGAGTCTATCAATTTATAAATCTGTCTATCTGGGACTGCTTTAGTTCTTCTTGGGCTCTACCAAGAAGAAGGGATAGAGGGATTCTCTGAGAATGACCCACTGAGATGGCCAACAGAATAACATCACCACCAGGAAAAGACAGCAAGTATGAAGGAGAGGAGGTATGAATTATTGACTAAAAAAATATCTTTAATGTACACTACAGAAGTATACCCCATAACTAGTTTATACAAGCTACCAGAGCTTATATCCAGCCTTATAACCTCTGCCAGGATTTTTTTACCCAGATCTTCGGATGACTGGCTCCTTCCTGTCCTTCATGTCCCTCTCAAAAGCTACATTCACCAAGAGAGTTTCTCTTAGTTTCCAGATTAAGCAGTCCTCCAGTCACAGTCACTATGTGATCTTTATCTTAGTACTCAGGGTGTTTTGAAATTATCTTGTCCCTTTGTTTTCTTTATCTATTTTCCCCTTCTAGAATGTAAGCTCTACGCAAACAGACTTGCCTGTCTGGCCACTATTCTATCATTCCCCCATAGAAGACTACCTAACACATGGAATGAGTGGGTAAAGACAGTCTTGTTGAATGAATGACCAAATCAGTGGTGGATTTTCTTATTTTTAATTAGTGGATTTTCTAATAAATGTTCTTGTGAGGGGAATTTCATTTCCCAGTAGTACCTGGCAAATGAAGCATGTAAATAGGAAAAACTGTCATCACTAAGATTAACTAAACAACTTAAAGAACAAAATTTCTAAGTCCATGCTATTATTAGAGAACAGTACCAGACTATAAATCACAATTATAAAAAAGGAATTATTACTTACTTTTTCTGATTGATATATAACTTCATCTTTCTTCTGACTCCCAGGGAGCTGCTACACCCAAGGACCACCTCTTTATTTCAAAACAACTTGGTATGAGTAAAATCAGTAACTTTGAAAAGTCTACCAAGAGCTTTACTTTGCACTCTGAGCATCTTTTTAATTACCTACATTGTATAAAATGATTTGTTTTATCCACACCCCCCATCCTCCTTATCTCCACTCCTTCTGAGAAATCTAAGCAGAATCCCAAATCCTACATCTGGAAGCACTAGAAGTCAGATGCTATATAAATCTATTATCCTTGTAACAGTATTTTTGGCAATGCCAATGTGATTCGACCATCCTAAACAAGTCACCTGCTAAGCTAAATATTCCACAACTAGTAAGAACTATCAAGTTCTTACTATCAACTATCTCTGCAGACAAAATAAACATTGCAGTATGTAGCATACTTTGTGAACTAAATAATTAGAAGCTGGATGGCAAAGGGCCAAGGTAAAAATAGCTGCATCCACCAGGCTTCCAACATTCTTTATGATGGACTAAAGACATACAGTGAGACTATGGCTAAATGCAAAATTCATTTTAATCCTGTTCATTTAGGCAGAAAATTCTCTTTTAGTTTTAGAGCAAGAAAACTGCACCACTACCGAAAGTCCACTTCGTATATTTTGTACATTTAAAAAGAAAACGTGACAAACCAGGATCTGCTGCCTGTCTGGCCTTCAGCCACAGTGCATTGCTGTGGGATTCCCTGAAAAGGAGAGCAAAAGCCTGTGTGGAAGAGAACACACATTGCTGACTGTATTGGTAGAGAAGCTAGAAAAGAAGAGATGCTCTTATGGGAAAGTTCGGGCAGGATTACCAGATTGTTGGAGAGAATTCCATTAAGCAAGTCAGACTCCATTCCTCTATGGGATACAAGATACACACAAAGTCAAACAGATAAATGTGGGACTCTTCTACGTACAGACCAGTGGGAGGATCCAGGCTGGGCCTTCCCCCTGAGTTTGTCTGCCGGGTTTGTCCTATGCTCTCCCCTTTCCATCAAGTTGTCCCCAATTCTTTCTTAGAGATCTGGGTCAGGCTGCACATCCTCAGAAAGCTTTTTCTAACACATCTTGCCTCGGGCTGACTTCAATGTATTTTGTGAGCCCTTACCTGTCTTTATTAATGTGTAACAGATACTATCCAAATCTCCCGAACCTGCTGCTGTTTTCATTCTAGCCCCTGTGTGTCCTGTCTTGAGTAGACTATAATCTTTCCACCATGAGGGATGTATGTCCCTTATCTTCCTACAGTTTGGTACAGTATTTTCACAAATCGGTTATTTAATAAAAGTTAGCAGAATGACTTAGCAAATTATATTCCCACAGGATTAGTTCTGGAAAACCAAGGGGCCCTTGCATAAGAAGAGGAGTTTGGGGAACACTGGAATATGAGGAGAGGAAGACAAAGGATTAAACACATTGGGCTTTGTTTCAGATTCTGTGTCTCCTTCTCGCTCTGCCCCTCCCTTGCTCATGCTCTGTCTCTGTCTCAAAAATAAACATTAAAATTAAAAACAACAAAAACAACACATTCGGCTAAGGAGGAAGAGGTAAAGAAGACCGGCATTCACCCAGGATAGGGCAAGGAAAGACCTCTGAACCAAACAGTACAATTTAAGCAGAGGACAGGAAGCACTGAGGAGATCCAGAAGGAGCAAAGACTGAAGGTCAGAAGAGAATGGTGGCACTAAAACCAAAATGAGAAGAGGGTTTCTAGAAGAAATATGCCAAATGTTGAGCCAAGAGTGAGATAAAGCAAACATTTCTCTGTGTGTGTGTGTTTGTGTGTGTGTGCGTGAGAGAGAGAGAGGCGGGTACTTAGGTAGGAGAAAGGTGAATGGGAGAACAGTCCACAGTTACAGCATAACCAAGTTCATCTGCCGGATACAGGAAAATTATTAGGCGAAGGTTTCCCCTAAGCTGACTTCCAGAGCCAAATGCCCTTCCAGGATATTATCTCCAAAACCACATCCAGCTCTCATGATGTGTGATAACTGAAATCCAAGAATTTCTAAGGTCTCCCCCATGGTTAATGTGCCCATTTACATGGTGATACTTCCTGGCACTTCACTTGTCTTTCGAGGTAGTATACCTTATACTAATTAGATAAAGTCTCTTAGGAAATCAAAGTTGTCATGGTTGGGGCTCAGTTCTTCCAGTGTCCACTGCTGGCCATTTGGGGCAGCCTTCCCAGAACACCTGACTAATCAATACAAGGATCCAGGAGAGGGCCAGCTTCCCTGTGGAACCCAAAGGATCAGCTGAAGATGTGAGCGGTAGGGGCAGTCTCCTCGTGGAAGCCTTTCCGGGCTTCAGGTAAAGCTTGCTTTCTAGCAATACATACATGGATCCAAAGTGCCCTTGTCTTGGCCAATGTCTGCAGCCAGGGTCACACATGCTGCCTAAAGTACTCCCCATGTCAGGGAAGAAAGAGGAGGAGAAGTGACAGTGCTTTCACTAATCACAAATTCTTTTTTTTAAATATTCTTTTTAAAGTTTATGTTTTCTTTTTTTTTTTTTTTTTTTGAGAGAGAGAGAGAGAGAACATGAGCAGAGGAGTAAGAGAGAGAGAAGGAGAGGGAGGATCCCAAGCAGGCTCTGTGATGTTAGCACAGAGCCCAACTCAAGAGCCACAACATCATGACCTGAGCAGAAACCAAGAGTCAGACACTTAACCAACTGAGTCACTCAGGTGCCCCTTTAATCACAAATTCTTAGATTGACTTATTTCTTTGACCATTCATTTTAATGCTCCATACCTGATATTCAAAAATCTAAAATAGACTTTATCCTCCCCCTTTTTTTAATAGAAAAGGAGGAAAGCAATTCAGAATCTATTCCTCTATCACTTGGGCAAATTACATGTTAAAGCAGTTCTCTGCACCAGATTTTCTTTCCTCCTTTGCAGTGCGTCCTCACTTCCCCAGGAAATCCCCAATTACCATTCCTTCCAAGAGTATATTCCAGAATGTGCCTTGATTTAAAAAGTTCAAAAGGAGGAAGTCCCTCAGTCATTAACGTGTGCTAAGTTATTCATGGTACCATTCTAAATTCTACTAAAAATATGTCAATTAGATGTATGTAGTCTTTGTCCCCAAGAAATGTATAAGCCAATACATGAATTCCTCCTCCCATCCCTGCCCCAACAGTGAGAAAATGGCCCCAGTGGCACCATGTTGGATTCCCACCCTTTGGCGGAGCTCTGGGGCTTCTGCCACTTTACCTCATAGGGGTTTGGTGACCATATTCATCAACTCCAATAAGACACACAGCTTGAAGCTGTGAGTTTCTCATGGAACTAAACTGTGCAAAATCTTAAAACAAATATATTTCCATCTAACGTTGTTTTATAAAATGTTTCTAGGAAGTTGCTTTGGTTAACAACTTATTAAGTAAAGTACTTTCTATCAGTAATATAACTCAGGGAATTGCTGCAAAATCTATGGAGTTCAAGACAGTAAGAGAGCACTTGTCCTAGTCAGCGGTGTCTTGTGGTTGTTTGCTAACAACAGCAGACACTTTCTGTAGTAAGTACCTCTACACTGTGTTCGCTCCGGGAAACATTACCTAAGGAGAGTTGGGTGACACGATGCTTACTGTCCTGCATGTGGACATTAGTTTTCATACCCTGTCCTTGGATTTCTACTCACCTTTGTCTGCTGGTAGTAGTTTACAAATGTCTGTCTGAATAAATAGGGGCCAAGATAGCTAAAAATAAAGAATAAGTGGTAATTTAAGTAAAGATAACATGAATTCAGAATCATTAAGGATCTTTTTCCTAGAATTCCTAAAATCCACTAAGAATTTTATTCTTTTGGAACAATTTAAACTTTCATTCTGTGTTTGACCTTGTAATTTTCACTCTATGAGATCATGCATACCTATTAGAGTTGGAAATGTCTAGTATTGCAAAAAACAAACAAAACCTTAAGGGAAATAGACAACAGCATTTGCAAGCAGGATTGGGATCATTTTCATAGATCCCTATATCTTAAGGAGAAAAAGGGCTAAAGCAAATTACTCAAAGGTGAACACTCATATGGCCTTCAGTGTTAAGTACTATTGTTATTATTATCAATAATAAAAACCCTACGTCTATATGAAACCTTGTAGGAAAATCTTGAGCTGCGAGGTGAAAGGTAAAAACATAATGCTAGATTGGAAAAATTATGTCAAAAGGGACAAACATGAAACTTGTCAGTCAGGTCAACGCAAAATGTTAAACTCTACAGCCTGAATATAAAAACTCATGAATAAACAAGAATACTTTATTTTACATCGATGTTCAGTTCAACTTTTGAAAGCATGCTGGATTAACCACTAGAAGATATAAGATCAGTAACTAGTCAAGGAATCCATAATCTTACATAGTGAGCAGTAAAATGTTTATATAAATAAATCAGGCTCTGTGCAAGTTCCTGCAAAGCAGATGCCTGTTGTCTAAATCCAGCTGTAATCTGTGATGTATTCTGGCCTCCTCACTTTAGGAAGAAATCAGGAAATGAAGAGGCAAGTGACACTGGATGGGAAAAACAAAAATACACAGAACCTATACTTAGAAGTTTGGTCATGGTCCAAGTGCCATGATACAGTAATTCCCTAAGAAAAGCCAACCAGACAAATACCCAGCATGAATAACTGAAATACTAGAGCTACGTGGAAGCTCAGTGTGGGGAACTACACTAAGGCTTTTAGGCAAATACCCTGGGATCAGGTTCAGCATGCTGGCCTTCGGGTCTCCATGTCTCTCCCGTGTTTTAGAAAGCTCCTTTTAACAGAGCATTACTTTAATCATTAGAAAGTGTTGGGTTTTTTGTTTTGTTTTGTTTAGCTGAACATCAGCCTGAACACCTACTTATGAGAGGTTGTGAGTTGTACAAGCAGGGCCATCCATTATGGTCCCCACTGAGTGGTGCTAGAAGGTCCAGGCAGCCACCTTATTAGGTCTGAAACTGCCTGTCACTGATGCGTTAGACAATGGAGAAAAAGCAGGCTTCACCTGGCTTGGATCTCCTGTATCAGCATAGATAATATGGTTTAGATGTCAGATAAGGTAGTCAATCCTTCTCTGGACTTTTAGATTTCATTTACTCCTAACTTTTCAGAATTAACCTGGAATACCCAATACAAAGTGGTGAAGAAAGCACATTTAAAAAACAACTACCATACAATCTACTAGAATCTTTGCTGCATTATAAAAAGGTGTGTGCAGGGGGAGGGGAGAGAATGGTACCACACCTGGGTTAAGTGTCCACTCTGGATGTAGGCTCAGGTCATGATCTCACAGTTCATGAGTTCGAGCTGCAAGTCGGGCTCTACACTGGCAGCTCGAGGTCTGCTTGGGATTCTCTCCCTCCCCCCGCCCCCCTTCATGCTCACACACGTACTTGCACCTGCTCTCTTTCTCTAAAAATAAATAAATAGGGGCGCCTGGGTGGCTTAGTCGGTTAAGCGTACAACTTTCGCTTAGGTCATGATCTCGCCGTTTGTGGGTTCGAGCCCCGCGTCGGGCTCTGTGCTGACTGCCAGCTCAGAGCCTGGAGCCTATTTCAGAGTCTGTATCTCCCTCTCTCTCTGACCCTCCCCTGCTCACGCTGTCTCTCTCTCTCCTAGAAATAAATAAAAAATGTTAAAAAAATAAATAAATAAAAAATAAAAATAAAAATAAACTTTTTAAAATTTTAGATTAATGTAAAAAGGAGAGGATGGGGATTTAAAGATACAAGGAGTAGTAGAAAGAGCAATCTGAAACAAGGCAAGAGTAACTCAGGGTGACCCATTAAAAATGTGGTCTAAAGGATCTTTTTAGTGCTTCCCACCTCCCTTTCAACCTTCCTTTTCCCACATGTGGTGCCTGCTTGCCATGCACCTATGAGCTCTCAATTCCTGAGGAAATTTTCTTCGGGGTCCTCTTCCTAAAGGAACTTTTTCATAAAGAAAAAGTTAGGTAGGTATATGTTAATAACATGTTAGTTTTTAGCTAGAAACTAAAGTTTCAATGTAAAAAATGATCCTCTTAGAAATATTTACAGTTTTACAGAAGGAGCAAATAAGAGTGCAAACTTCCAATACTACAGCAGGCCATTTGGAAAAGCCAAGTAGAATCTGGGAGCAAGAATGTTCTTTCAGTGCCCCCGAAACCACTCCAAACTGGAAGATCAACAAGGCTCTCATTTGTTTTATCTCTACTAAGATTTCACTTACTAAACACTATCTAGGATATTCAAATTCAACACACTTCATTTTTTTCATGGTGAAATGGAAGAAATTGCCACGGTCTTGTTTTACATCATTGATTATCAACCTGGGGTGACTCTGCCCCCTAGCCTGGGGACTAGTCAACATCTGGAGATATTTACAGTTATCCCAGGGTGGGAGGGAGTGGGGGACAGTTGGTGCTACTGTCATCTAGAGGGTAGAGACTAGGGATGTTGCACAATACTACCCCTACAGCAATGAATTATACAATCCAAAACGTCAATAGTGCTAAATTTGAGAAAACCTGCTTTATATGAACTAACTGTTATTCAGTTGATATCTAGTGGGTGTAAACATTAATGCCAGTGAAATTACTATACCATGATAAGAGTAAAATTGACCATTATTTGGGAAGACTATTTTCTTAACATTTCTGTAACATCTTAATTCTGGCTTTTAAATTACTTTTTCAAAAGAGTCAATTGAATAAAATGAAGAGGCTTTATATAGTTCATGTAAGTTTTTCTATTTTGGAAATAAGAGTTTTGATTAAAATTGGCATTTCTGAAACTCTTAATTGCTAGTTATTGCTGGGGAGAGAAAGAAAAAAATTATTTCCAAGACCAGCCAGATGGGAAGTCTCAAGATAAGAAATTATAAGCCAATGCTCCTATTCCAATCACAAGAAAATTTCTGTTTATACATTTTTAGTTCTGCTTAAAAGTAAGCAATATATTTATTCAAATGGTTAGTAAAACTGCTATCAACTAGCTCACTAATTTTTTAACTTTGGGTTTAATTCCCCAAATCTTGTTAGATTATTAATAAGTAGAACAGCAATGCTTATAAGAACACTCTGTATATTAAGGATTCCATAAACTTGAATAGAATCAAAATGGTTTCTGGTATGGCAAAGGATATCTCTTTGTAGATGTATAATCTGCCCATAGAAATATTTAATGTCCATTTTTCAAAACCCATTTCTGATTGAAATGTAATGGATGTTTCAGTTTATATGCCCTGAACCAAAGCATCCCAAATGTCTTCTTGACATCTATACTTTAGTAACATTCTTAGGACCTGCACACTTTGGTAACTTCTGCTTTTCCACACCTGAAAACTCTCATAACTTTATCACTCCCTTCTCTTCTTCCTTTTTCTGTGATTCCCCGTCCCCCCACCCCAAGAAATGTCAGGTGGATGAAGATGACTTGAAGTAGAGGGATGTAAGGAAAAACCATATGGTTCCTTCTGTCATCCATGAGATTGAAAACTGTGGAAAAGAGGGCAAAGCGAGGACTTTCACTTACTGAAAAGCATCTCAAGCACCTGCAAGGTCTTCCAAAGAGAAGAATTTCCAAACCACTAAAAAAAAAAAAAAAAAAAAAAAAAAGCCCTTTTTTGAGGGTCTTGTTTTAGGTAGATTTATGGAACGGTTTCTTTTCATTCAAGTCTACTCAAAGCCACTGAGAAAGAACTCCAAATTACGGTACATATCTTACTAGTTGCTTGGATTTGACAAATAAAGCAATCGTCAAAATCAAGGAGTGTGCACTGCTTTCAAAACCCCTATTTGTTTCACACAATATAGCAGTGGGATGGCTAGAGAAATAAATGGCATTACTTAACATAATCACTTAATGTTGTGCAACCAACAGTCAGGTCTCATTGCTTTATCGCTTGCAAAGAGTTTGATGATAATAAAGTTGATTGTTAGTGTGAAGATATAAATTGTTCAGTAGTTAGAATTGTTAATGAAAGGAAAGAAACACAAAAGAGGAAAAATAGGTTTTAGCAGCTCAAATTCATTGCTAATTGCCTGTGCATTCATTATAGGCTGACCAGGGCTAATTATCTAATTAAACTAAAGTTCTGCTGCCTTAGAGGAATTCTCCCGCTATGATGTTGGTTGTCAATTACCTCAGCAGGTCCTGTGGAAATGTGCAGTTAACTCAAGGAGTGTTTTGCTTTTTCCAATAGCAATACATAGCACTCTTGGTGCATAATAATTTATGTTTAGAATTTTTTTTAAGTTTTCCTTAAAAAATACTGTGGAAACTTAGTAATACTTATAAATATTATTTAAGCAAAAGTTTTGTTCATTTTATTCAATGATTTATATTCAGGAAGTGTCTATATAATCTGCTGTACATAGAGACAACACAGGTACAAAGGAGAAGTCAAATATCATTGTATGCATGTTACTGAGTGTTCTTTTCACATGCTGCTTTTAAAAATGCATTTTAAAAGTATCTTTTGTGATGCTCTGCAGTATTTCACAGTATGATATTATAATACCTATTGTCATGTAATTATAATTTTTAAAATTCATAGTTTTTTTTAAGCTGGAAGGAAAGTGGTAAACCATGGGAACTAAATTCTTCACTTTATAAATAAGGGAACAGAGGTTCCAAGAAGTGAAATGACCTACCCAAAGTCACACAGCGGGTTCCTAGAACCAGGACAAGAACTGGTATCCTCTCAGGTGCTTTCTTCCTTGATTCCACTGTTCCGCTTTTGAATTATACTGTCACTTTTCATGCTTTCTCTAAAATGCTTTAATAGAGCATCTAGTTAGACAAGGTTTTTGGCATTTGTTTCTTTGCTGAGTGACTTTTTAAAAGAAGGCTTATAGCATTTCACTTCTCCAAGGAAATGTATGATACCATACCTATTTATTTCAAATCAGTCAATCAGCCCTGGGATGTGTTTTGTTCCTAGGGAATTTGATCCCCAATTGGTTGGATCATAAACCATCAAGCAATATTTACTATGCATTCTTTGAGAAAGACATTTCCCAAGAAAGTACCATTTCATTCTTGAGTTTTTCCTATCTTCACTTCTCTTAATCCTGGGACAGGATATCTGTTCCCTGCACCAACACAGAACTCTGGAACCTTCTTCCCCTTCCCCTTTCGCAGGCATTTCTCAGGCACGCAGCAGCAATGAACATACAGTTCTTTTCTGCCAAGTTAGAGAAGATGATTTTCCCTTTTACTGCCTCTTGAAGATGAACATCAACTGTTTCACCACTTGTGATTCAAATCCATTAATTAAAATAAATATAAAGTAAAAATCTTTCTTTCAGCCAAGAGGAAAAGGACAGATGGGGAAGCGGAGGAGGTGGAGACAGCTGATGTCTTCTTAGAGGGGGAAAAAGGGAAAGAAAAACAAGAAGCATGAAATTGGGGGGAAAAGTTAATTAAGAGAGGTAAAAGGTGTTTGGATTTAATTTACAGTTCAGAACTATTTTGGTTCTCATAATTGCACTCCCTCAAGAAGAAGAGGAAAACCTCTCTAATATGAAATTGGTAGGGGAGTGTTCTCTTAAATCACCTCCAAAAATAGTAATACCTGGCCTTTGGCAGTGCTTCAGACTGAGCATAGCAAAAGCTTCTTTATTCATTTTCTTTTATTGCAAAAGCCACACCTCTCCCCCCCCAACCTTCTCTCTTCATGCTCCTAATTTTTAACTTCTTTCTCCCTTGCCTCCCATTGCCTGAAATACGACACTGGCAAGGAAGAGAAAAAAACGAACCAGTTTTAAGTCCTTCTCCATCTCAGTGCTACATGCAGTGGTCTATAGAAATCACATAGTTAGAAAACAATGTCCTATAGCTTTTATCACACAATAAAAACCCTGCAATTGGCGGGGGGGAGGGGGGAGGGGAGGGGAGGCATGTGCATACTGAAAGTCTAACCTGAACACTAAAAATTCCTGAGGTTAGCATATTTAACTGAACAGCCAATACATTCAAATGATTTGATTTCAGATAACCACAAAAAGTTAAATCAGAGTAGAGTGGAGTAGAGTTACTTTTAAGATGTTAGTGGAGATGGAAAGAGCTATGGTGTAATAATGGAAGAGAGTTATGGTGTAATAATTTTAGATAAGTAAAACAAAATACATGGTTTTGTTTTGAATTATCCTTATAACTGTCTCCATCATCCATGTTGAGCCAATGAGACGCTGGAAGGAATCTTAGAGATCATATCCCAGAACCACTAAGAAACTAGGATCTAGTGAGGTCAAGTGATTTGCTCAATCACACAGTTAGTTAGTTAGTTAGTAGGAAAGCCATGCCTAGAACCAGCTCTTCTGATTTCAAACGTATTCTTTTTTTTTTATAACCTGACACTCATTCATGATAATAGATGAGAAATATGGGCTAACATTTTCTAAGAACTGAAAGGAAAACCACAAAATAAACCCCAAATATTCAAGAGTCTCATGCTCTACCGACTGAGCTAGCCAGGCACATATAAACCCCAAATATTCAAATATAATTAGTATAAGTAAGTTAGTCTAAAAGCAGGGAAAAAATTTTAGCAATTTAGTTACCATGTTCTATACTAACATAAAAGACAGATCTAGGAATAAGGCGGCAAGAGCTACTGGGAAAAAAGAAACCTTCCTGCCCGCCTTTAAACAAACAGACAACTGCAGGCTAGGAACTCTGAGCATTTGAGAATGTCAACACTTTTGTGCTCTTCTGACCAAGCCCCAGTATGATCAAAATAGATGGACAAAATGAATCCTGAGAAGGAATTGAGAAAAAAAATCAGAATGTAATTTTTTGTGTGAATTAAGGAAAAGAAGTCCTCATAAAGAGGAAGGCCAGGGAAAAAGACAAAATATAAGCCTATTCCCAAAGAATGAAGAGATTAGAGAACTGAGGTGGAGTTAAAAGGGGTGTGTGTGTGTGTGTGTGTGTGTGTGTATGAGTGTGTGTGTGTGTGTGTGTGCGCGCGCTTGAGGGCTTTTCCAATTCTTTTCATAGCTCCTGATTAATTAATAATTTTAAAAGAAATTTAGCTCTACTCATGGTTCTGTGTGTCTTGCCCATTCCTAAATTTAATAGTTAGATGTGGACAAGAGGTGAGATTTAAGCTTTGTCAGTCTCACCCATCACTACATCGCTGTGAACTCATGAAAAAAAAATTTGGAGAGAATACACTTCAAGAAATAGATCGTCAAAGCAACAGTTCATCAGCAAGCCCTGTCAGACCCACCTACACAATAGATTCCTAATCTTTACACTAGTTCTCATGTCTTTCCTCTGGATTACAGCCTCCAATCAGAGTTTCTTTGCTGTTACACGCTTCCCCCACCAATCTCTCAGAAATGTAAAATAGATGAGTCATTCTCCTGCCCAAAGATCTCCAAAAGCTCACTTTTAATAAAAGTACTTGTAATAAAATCCACCTCCCCATCATAGGCCTCAAGTCCCCATAACCCCCCTAACCATGGCCTATAAAATATGGCCCTTGCCTACCTCCCCAACTTCATCTCCTTCCAGGAATCTCACAGCCCTTCATTCTTGTCCCCAGTTATACCAAGCTCCTTCCCACTGAGTCCAAGTCATAATATCCCAGACCCTGGTTAACAACCTTACGGCTATTTCCTGGTCTTGGAATGCTCTGACCCCAGACTTTTCCATAGCTGACTCCTTAACATTCAGGAGCAGCTCAAATGTTATCTTCTGATCACCCTGACAACCCAGTTTAAAGTAACACACCATACACACACACACACACACAAATATCCCACCATCCTATCATCCTGTTTTGTCTTCATAAGCTTTATCTCTGTCTGAAACTATGCTGCTCACTGATTTATACTGTGTAATAACCTACACACACACACACACACACACACACGCATGTGCAGGTAAATTCCTTGGGAAAGCAGATATTCCTTGCTGAATCCCCAAAACCTAGCACAATGCCTTGTACCCAGCAGATCCTTACTATTTATCAAATGATACATTCTGTCCATCCCAAACTTTTCCCAAATCTTGTGTCTGCCTTTTATTTCCAGTGTTTGTCCACTGTCACTCCTCCTTTGTTCCTTTTTCTGAACTTCTTTTGATCTTCATTTCACTTGTTCCAACACAAAAGAAAAGAGAACAAGGAGCATAAAAAAGGACACTAATGGTAATAGAAACCTACTCACCCAAAACTACTGGCAGTGGCGCAGAAGGTCAAGTGAAGTGCTTCTTAAGGGCAAAAGCCCTTAGGATTGACCTCATCCATTAGTGCAGCTCTTAAGGACAGCATCAAAAGGAATTATGAAGGTAGCCTGTCTGTAGCCTAAAAAAAAAAAAGTACTATATGCCCTGTGGACACTCAGTAGTTCTTAAAACTTTTAATGTGCAAAAGATTCAGATTTAGTAAGTGTAGACAGGACCTAGGTATCTGTACTTTTAACAAATGTTCCTAAGTGATTCTGATACAAGCAGTCTTTGAAAACTTTCAACTCTTTAGCCAAACAGTAATAGCAATGACCGGAAGGATGGTATCACCAGGTAAATAGTTGAACCAATAAAAAGTTTTTATCTCTACCTTGAAGCTGATTCTCAAGTCAAATTCCATCTCAGTAAGTGCTGAGTATTAATTAAACTCATTGGTGTTTACTAACATTTAAATGGTTTTTAACCATTTAAAAACTATAATAATAGCTACTATTATGGGATAGCTACTATGTTCCATATGCTATTATGACATTTCTACACGTGTCTCTTACTATGCCATTTCATAGATGAGATTCAGTTAAATAAGTACAGGTAACTATCAAGAAGTGATAGATTCGAAAATGAAATACATCTATATGTTACTAAAGTCTGAGTCCTATAGAGCCTGTCTATACCTCCCACTAATTATATCTTAATAAAAGCAAAACCAGTAAATAAAAATCCAGATTTGTAAACAAAAACAGGCATTCTTTCTCTTAAATATTCCTCACTTGAGAAAAAGACTGCATGGGATTTTATTACATGCTGAACTTTGACAGTACAATTTAAACACCTTAACAATGGCATGGCAGTCTGAAAAAAAAAATAGAAGTCTAAAACAAATAATCATCCTCTTAATCAAAATCACCAAATACTAAGAACTGCTTCATAATTTACAGATCTACAGTGATTCTCAAACTAGGCTGAAAATTAAGAATCACTTGGGTAGCATCTTAAAAAAAAAAATTCTAGGCTTCACATAAGTTCTTCTGAATCATAATCTCTGGCATATGACCTCCAGATCTTTATTTTTATAAAGCTCCCCAAGGGCTTCTGATGAGTAACTAACATTCAAAAGGACTGTTCCCCCAACCCCAACATTTTACAAGTAAATAAATTGAGGACCTAAAAAGGTATGATCCGCCTAAGACATACAACTTGTTACTAGCAACACAGGTTGGAAAAACACGATATCCTAACTCCACATTTAGCACTTTTAATACTAATTCAAGCTTTTTTCCCCCCTTTGGTAAAACTGTACTTTTTTCTGCACTGATTAGGCCTTACTGATTACTATCCTTGAGCAACTTATACCCTCATCTGCAAACTGGGGTTAATAACAGAATCCACCTCTTAAGAGTTGCTATGGGAATTAAATAGTATAATCCGTTAGGTAATGCACTTAATAGAGTGCCTCACGTATACTAAGTGTTCACTAGATAGCTTACACCGTCCACTAAAAAAGCATGCCTTTCTTAGCTGGAGAGGATTTATGGAACCAATCTAATTACAAAATGAGCAAAACCCTCACGTTTAGCTTTGGAAGTCCAAAAGAACTTTAAACTCAAGGTAAGGTGATGGTCAAGAGCGTTCCTGATTCTCGCACACCACTGTTTCTCATAAAATGCCCCAGAATCATCTAGTGTATCAACTTCTACATGACAACCAGCAATCTGTATTTTTTTAAAGGTCTTATTTCCCCTTTCCAACCAGGTGCTTCTTAGGTAAACCATGGTTTAATAACCCTTAGTATAAACAATCCTTGGCCACAACAAATAGCCTCTCGAATCCCAGCAAAACTATCCCGCTCTGTAACCGGAAGAGCAGTGTCATCACACCCTGATGCAAACAACAGCTGGGGACGGCTGTGCAGAGGAATCCTGATCACCAGGGACGGCCTCGACCCTCTCATCTCCCAAGAAACTTGGAAAATTACGAAAGTGCTGTCCCGTAATCCCCGCGGGTAGACAATGGTGCCTAGGTGGCCAAGAAGAAAGTTAACTCAAAAGCCTCGTTCCCAAGGGTAGGGGCCAGAGAAGAGCGACCCTGGCTGGCGGAACAGGATGACCGGCGCCAGAAGGTTAACGACCCTCTCGCCCAGTTCCTACGGATGGCCAAGAGCCTCCACCACGCCTCAGGCCAACTGCCGGAAGTGCGTCACTCCGGCCTGCTGAGGGTGCCGGGAGTTGTAGTTAACTGGCTACTTCTCTTGCGCCCCAATTCACCTTTCTTCAAATAAGCAAACACCTTGAAACCGTAAAGAAGGCGCTTTATAAGACACAAATCCCATCCTTCCTTTTCCAGCTGACAAAGGAAACTCAAGAGCTCATCCGTAATATCGGACTACAAGTCCCAGCATGCTCTGTAAAACGGCCGCGCTGGCCCAGCCGCCGTCGTAGGTGTGGGCTGCTTGAATGGAACGTCGGGCGTAACGCAAAGCCTTACACCGTCCGCGCGACCGGTACCTGCTCCTCTGGCGTGAGTGCGGCGCGTGGGTCGTGCGCGTGCGCGCTCGCCGGAGGCGCGGGGCGGGTGCGCCGGGCCGTTGCGGGCGCGAGCTGCCGAGGTCGGCGGCAGTGGTGCCGCGCGCCCGTAAGACCGGTAGTTGCGGGGCCTCTAGCTTCGCCCCGGGCTGCGGGCAGCCGTGGCGGCGACCGGAGACCGCAAGGGGCGGAGGAAAGCAGGGGGCGGCGGGGGCCAGCCTCGGCACGCAGAGGATCAGCCGGGCATGCCCCGAGACAACATGGCCTCCCTGATCCAACGGATCGCCCGCCAGGCGTGCCTCACCTTCCGGGGCGGCAGGGGCTGCCGCAGCGCTTCCGACCGCGGCGCGGCGCCGGGCTCCGAGGCCGCGATGCCGCAGGGCTTTCCGGAGAACCTGAGCAAGCTGAAGAACCTGCTGACCCAAGTCCGCGCGGAGGACCTGAACATCGCACCGCGCAAGGCCACGCTGCAGCCGTTGCCGCCCAACCTACCACCGGTCACCTACATGCACATCTACGAAACCGACGGCTTCAGCCTCGGCGTGTTCCTGCTCAAGAGCGGCACGTCCATTCCGCTTCACGACCACCCGGGCATGCACGGCATGCTCAAGGTGCTCTACGGCACCGTGCGCATCAGCTGCATGGACAAGCTGGAGGTGGGCGGCGGGCAGCGGCCACGGGCCCCGCCGCCAGAGCAGCAGTTCGAGCCGCCGCTGCAGGCCCGAGAGCGGGACGCCGTGCGGCTGGGCGTGCTGCGCTCGCGGGCGGAGTACACCGAGGCCAGCGGCCCCTGCGTCCTCACCCCGCACCAGGACAACCTGCATCAGATCGACGCTGTGGACGGGCCTGCCGCCTTCCTGGACATTCTGGCCCCGCCCTATGACCCGGACGATGGCCGGGACTGCCACTATTACCGAGTGCTGGAGCCCGTCCGGGACAAGGAGGTCTCCGGCTCGGCCTGTGACCTGCCCCGAGAGGTGTGGCTCCTGGAGACCCCCCAGGCCGATGACTTCTGGTGCGAGGGGGAGCCCTATCCAGGTCCCAAGGTCTTCCCTTGAAGCCGCCAGCGCCTGGTTGCCGTGGGCCGAAGACGTGCCCTGTTCACATCTGGGCCTGGCTGCCCCGCGACCCACCATAAGGGCTCTCTCCCTACCCCCAGGCCTGGGCGTTGGATCTACTGGAATGGGCTGTAGCCGCTTCCTCCGGAGCCGTGGGAAGCGCTGGCCACTGGAGTGCAACCGCGGGGCCGGGTTAAGGGGCGGGGAAGACGGGTAGACTAGGTTGTTTCCTGGCTCTGTCACTGCCATCGGTGTTTTGATTTCGGGGAAGGGGGGCAGGGGACTATCTGAAGCGCTTCCATCCTAAAGCCATAATGAAGATACTCTTTTCTCTGTTCCTTATACTATACAGAATACACTAAATGCCCCCACACCCCCTATCCTGGGTAAATAGGATTTGTTTTCCACCTATGTCCCTTTTACTCCTTGTTATAATTCTAACTTATTGATTGCATGACCCAGTGGTTTGAATTGTTTATAGTTCAAGTCATTGGTAAAAACTAGATTTAAAAAGATGAGCTACTATTTAAAGTGAGAATTAGATCTGTTTTCCAGAGTTGGGGTATCACCTCCAAAACATAACTATGCATGTAGAGGACAAGATTTGTTTTCTTTCCTCCTCTTACCCAGTAGCCACATCTGGTTTATTCTGGCAGTATCTACTAAGAAATTCAGCACCTGCATATCTCAGTGACAAATGATCACTTAGAGCTTATCGTCCCCATGAGTCTCCAGATCTGGGATTTGAGGAGATTTCCTGTTGCAGATTCACCTTTAATGCAAAACCTAATTATCCTCAAATGACTTTTTTTTTTTTTTTTGGTCTTAGTGCGCTTTAAGAGGTGATAGGTTAACTCTGTATTTTCTAACCAGACGATCCAAAGGAGCTGAATCGCTATGCTTCCAAACAACTGAATGTAAAACACTTCTAGCCAGTTGTTGAATTCCATGCCCCTGTTTACTTCCAGTATTTTCCTGCAAAAATAGAGAAAAATGTTGATGACTGTTTCAAATTCTCAGGAGTTCTAATGTTCCAGAAGGCTGGTGGTTCCAGCTGTGTTGTTTTGATGGCAGTGCTCTCCCAACAGTAGCGAGCCAGAGCTTGCTTCATCTGGTGTGGTTTTCTATAGGAAGAGAGAAGGCACACATGATCAAGCCTACAGAATAGAGAATTACCTATACTGCTGGCCATTTTAGGGCCCCAAAACTTGGGACAAAACACTAACCAACCTCTTAAACAGTTGTGCTATCTGTAACTAGTTTTATTTTTGTCCTTTAGATAAGCTCAGCAACTTTACCTTGTTTACAAATATATTTACACCATTTGCTTCAGGCTATGGAGCACTTTTGTTTCCCCCTTTTTAACTATTTATAGGATTCCTTTTTCACAACACTTTTAATAAAAACAAACTGTAGAAATAAACACATTAAAATCTTCCCAGCTGTTGTCTAAGCCCTCTTGATTGACTTGCCCAAATGGCAATCGAGTTCTAAGGTCTGTAATAAACGGAGACTTGCTCTTGGTGGAAAAGTGTTGACCCTGTGGACAAACAGTATGTGCCTTTGCCTCTTTATGCACACTGGGTTAATATGGCCCAGAGTGAAGGAATATTTGTTCCCAATTTTTTAAATAGAATAAGAAGGCAAATTCTTGATTTTTTTTTTTTTAACAAAAAAAAGATGTTTATTCAGTGTGAAATGCCACTCCTGCAAACAGCCTGAAACAGGCATAATGCCAAGCCTTTCCTCCAAGGTTGCTAACATTGTTTTATGGTGGCTTCACCTTATGGTTTAGTTTAATATGCCTTGGGGGCAGTTTGAAACAGTTCATAATGCCATTCAGTTTAAAACTAAATCCTAGATATGCAAATGATGTTTTTCTTAGAAAAATGTTCACAAAATGGGTCTTTTTAATAGCATAGTAACGAATGTGGTTATCAGTCACATACCTGTTATGAATTAGAGCAAAAAGTTGATGAATTTATAAAATTACTGATAATGTGTATGCTATAAAACAACCTAGAATGCATTAAACCAACAAAAACATTATAGCAATAAAACAGTAAGAAAGGAGGAATTGTTTTTCCAAACTTTATTATGAAAAGTTTTAAAGTCCTTAAGTACAAGCAAGCCGAATGAAAAATAAGGTGCTTTTCAAAAGAACTGAAATTGTTGCAGGCTAAAATAGCAATACGGTATCTTTCTAATTTAGTTTAGTAAGGACAGTGAAACTTGTGGTTCACTAATAAATTGAGTAAATTAATGGTGAGAACAACTTGTTTTAGCCACTAAGGAGAGAATATTCTTACTACAGAGACAAAATGTGGTGCGGCAAACCTGGCACCTCTGCGCATAAACTGTTGGTCGTGACTGACTCCATGTGCTGCTATTGCATTTCCACATATTCCTGCAATATAGACTGTATTCTAGTAATGACTGTGGGGAAAAGCTGTCTTCCCCTCCACAGACTGATGAGCACAAATGATACTGATCACTTTTCTGTTGAATAACAAACGCAATAATTGCCTCTCATGAGTGAGAAGTCTGTCTCAATACTTCTTAAGCTTTTTAATTCTCTGGTTATATCTAAAGCCAGTTTTATTATTGGCGAATATTGTGTACCTACCTACTACTATATGGGAATTTTTTTTTACTAAGCCTAATTCATGTGGTTTGAGGTTACACTAACTGCTGTTTATTAATGAAAATTGTGGGCCCATTTTTAAAGTACTAGTTGTCAACAGAAGTGAGTTCTCTGAACTTTTAAGACGAATACCCCTTAAATTCTTCCAGAATCCACAGCTTGTATTCCTCCTTTTGCATTGTCCCCTTGTAGATGCCTCAGCCTTGACATCTCAGGTAGCCTGTTACTGCTCATTTATTCCAAATGACTTTGTATCGTGTGCAAGTTCTACTGCTCAGTGAAGAAGCAGTATGTCTAAATCAGGGTTCAGCCCATTACTATTCAACTCTAACCTGAGGGCAGTGCCACTCCTGTAATCCTCATCTAAATTCTGAGCACCAGGTTACAAATAGAAGCCAGCCACTGATCATTTCGGTGTAATGAAGCATCTACTGTCAAAGAAGGAAATCATTTGTTAAGCCCCGTATAAGATACTGAATCATCAGATCCAGAGAGGTTTACATTTCTGGATTAAAATCAGTGTACTTGTGGAAAATAAAGGCATGTTTGAAATTGTTAAAGAGGTAAATCTTATTTGATTATTGCAAAATGAAAAATACTATGTCTAATTACTTATTAAACATTCATTCTATAAGATTATGTTGTACTGAAAACTGGTAGCTTTCTGCAGATTCCAAAGTCCGAGTAATAGAAACTTAGTCATTTGCTCGTGAGCTTTTTGAAACAATTTGATTGAAAACACATCTGAAATTAATGCCTAATCATATTATTTTGCTACAACAGAAAATAGTTCCCTTTTGTGTTTAACCTAAGGAAAATAAACTAGTGCAAGAAAACAAAAATACTTTTATCCATGAAGGAAATAATGAACTTAAATATATCTTGTCTTTTTCTGTAAAGTTTGTTTAATTATAGTTTGGACTGGCAGCATTTTAGGTACTTGATAATGCTGACCATTCTATATATATGTACATACACATATTGGACAGTTAAAATATCATTACAGCCATTTTCAATATATATCAAACAATTTGACTTAATTTCATTAGTAGTTGATATTTAAATACACTCATTATGAATAATTGAAAACCTTATTTAGTTTAATAGACCTACTTTTAATACTCAGTGAACCATCTCAAGTGCATTATGATCTTTAAGCAGTTACTCTTCAGAAGTTTATTTTTGAACAGGTTTGCCATCAGAAATACTGTTCAGTACGGCAAATTGAATATAAGAAGGATCAGACTTAGCTTTAAATACTTTATATTTTAAGCAAAGTAAAAAATGAAACACCTGCATGAAAGCACCCTGAATGTTTCAAGCTGAAAGTGAAATGTGATGAAAGATTGACCTAACATGTTAAAATCAAGAAGTAAAAGCCACCAAGTTGTCTCTGAAAAAACACAAAGATATGTTCCTCATGGCATGCCACTTCACCAAGCCCACCTCAAAGTGAAAGCGATCATGTAACCAATTTGACTATCATCAAAATATATTTAATTAAGATTAACTTATTCTTTTAAAAATGACTTCTTAAAAAGCTTTTTTAGTCCTGTTTTGTGAACAATTGTTTACATTATCTTGATTGAAGTTGTTCCGAAATTTAAGTTGGCAGGACAAATTACTATATTTTAATATAATGAAGGTTTGGTAGAAGGGGAGTATTCATTAGAACACATAATTATCAAAATATGGCATTTTTGTATATATGTTTTAACAAAATTAGCCAAGCAAAGATGATAATAAGCTGACAAGCTAGGAAATACAAATCTAATGAAATAATACCAGTCACTAGAACAATCTGGCACTGAGGTTTAGAAAATTTCTATTTAGTAACCAAAAGAGGTATTCTGCATCTTTGAAATACAGAAAGAGAGGGAATAAAAGGATTTAATTACCTCCACAAGTTAGATCTCAAAATTCCAGCCCTGTGAAGAGCAAAAAGTTTTTGCTGTCTGCTGTTCTAAAATACAGGCCAATTACTGACCACATATAAAGGAGGCTGACGGTGGCAAAGGACAAACAGATATAGCTGAAGGGTGGGTGCTCCAACATGTTATATTCGTGTGAGGATCCAGAAACAGTGGGTGAACTTCAATGATACTGAGGCCCAATTTTAGAATAAAGGTAACTTCACATAGACCCAACCCATTTGCTTTGTATGACAGATACCTCTTTTTTGCTGAAATTTGTATTTTAAAATCGCTACAAAAGGCTTGCAGTAAAATGAACCCTATATTCTTTTGCAAACCATTATCCAGTACAATAGAGAACCATATTTGCCTATTTGATTCAGAATGTCTTTCTTTGAGATTTTCTTAGGCTGATGTGCAACTATTTTATCTAATGAGCTGGGTATCTTGATAGTCTCTAGGCCCGCCAAATGTACAGCAGATATGGTGATCCTTCCAAATAGGGGTAACCAGGGAGAGAACACTAGAGAGAAATGAGTCCTGGGGTAATTCCTTTGGCAACCCATGAATGCTGTTTTCAGCAGTGTCTGAGTGCATTTTTGATCTGAAGAGGCGATAGCGTTTTTCAAAAAGTTTTCTGTGGTCATGAGACTAATCCTGGAACCTAAAAGTCATTTCCAGCTTGACCACGCCACCACACTTTCCACAAAGCCACATCTCGTCTGAGTTCCTGGCCTTGGTCAGAGTTCTGAAAGCAGCCACAAATGTGTAGTCTCCGAGTGGGCACTTGTTTGTAAGTATTTATTTTCCGGAGCCCACTCAGGAGGCGAGAGAAGCTATAGGCTGTTAGAGAGGACGGAACAATGAGTCAAAACAACGCCTCCCCACTTTTACACTAATGCATGGGGGAAATCCCCGGAACACTAGCGTTTGATTATGAATGGAGATTGCTCCGGAGGGGAGAAGGCTGGTGTTGAAAGGCCAGCAAAGAAAACTTGGGAGATCCTGGCTTGGTCAAAGCACTAAAACCCACTGGGTAACTACTGAATTCCCACCAAGTAAATCTTTCATCAATGATTTCTGCAGCAAAAATATTGTTGAAAAGTATTTATTTACACTATAGTCATAAACCATCCAGTATCTGAACTTCAGTTAGTGGTTTTGCATTAGAATAAATCATTTCTAGTTCCACAACTATTAAGAGCTAATAACCAAACAAGTCAGCTCCAGTAATATTATTTACATTCTTATCTGCAATTCGACTACAAAGGTAACACTTTTAAGTCACAAAACAAAGCATACAAAAATATACTTTCTAAAAAAAAATCCAAATATTAATAGGCAGAAATATACAGCCATACTAAACCCAGGGAGTGATTTTTTTTTCCATAGTAAGGCAACCCATTTACATGCAGACCCTGTAACATTGTCTACATCACACAAGGCACCAAGGACACTTCCAACACAACTGCATGCATCCTAGTTTCAGAGAATATATGTACATCCCCCTTTAAATAAGTTAACCTCTGACTCATTTCAAGAGATCATAAATGCTTTACTTTTTTTCCCGAAGGTTCAGAACTTGGAGAACAGTGCACATCAAAAATACACAAAATCTGAGTGGATATACACTGAAAAAATAGTCTTTACACTTCTCAAACAACTCAAAAAGGAGCAGATATTGCTATGTCCCTCCCATCACATTGCACTTCCGTTCTCTGAGTTTATAATACATATTGCTTAAAGGGTTGGAACGACTAGATAAGCTTTGATTCACTGTTCTAGGGCCACAGAATGCAGCATAAAGGCCATGCTTTATTCACTGTACAGCATCCTCAAATCAGTCCCAAGCCATAAAGTGCACATCAGCTTTGCTTCTTTTTGCTGCCCCCACCTGAAGGGATCAGCATCTCCCAACCTACTATTGTAGAAAAAGTCTCAAATCAACTCTGACATCCAGAGTCAAAAACCTGTAATGGGACAAGATACGAGAGAAGGGAAGCAAAACCTAGTCAAACAACCCTTTAAAGCAGGATCAGGCCTCAGCCCTCTAGGCCAGGGACCCCATCTAACACCCTTCTGCACCTCCCCGTTATCTTAGGGTGATAGTCAACTCACCTAAGAGACACTAGCATGGGCTAAGTTCTAGGAAGGACCTGTTTCTAAGTGGCAAGGGGGCAGTGCTGGGCTTCACCAAGGCCCTTCGCCCAGGAAGGGAGAGAGGGGCAGGAAAGGGTGGTAGTGTTTGTTGTGCAGCTGGAGTGGACCAGTGGACGAAGGGCCTCCGGGGCCTCAAGGAGCTGGTGTGTCAGCCTGAGTCTCATCTCAAGGTGTCCGGGTCCGAGAGGAGCAAGGGGCGAGGGACCCGCCACCGATAGTGCTGCTGTTGCTGCTGCACAGGGGCCCCCCCGGCTGCGTGCCTCCGGTGCAAGAGGTCGTGGAGGCAGCCGGCACTGATGAGGAGGGTGCGCTGCTTTTGCGCTCCTTCTGTCTCAGGTGGATCTTGGTGTGGCGCTTCCTCTCATCACTCCGGGCGAACTTGCGGCCGCAGTAATCACAGGCAAAGGGCTTCTCGCCAGTGTGGGTGCGGATGTGGGTAGTGAGATGGTCACTGCGGCTGAAGTTGCGCATGCAAATCCGACACTGGAAGGGTTTGTGGCCCGTGTGAATGCGGATGTGTCGGGTCAGCTCATCAGAGCGGGAGAAGCGCCGGTCACAGCCTTCTGCTGGGCACGGGTAGGGCCTCTCGTGCACTGGGGTCTTGCTAGGCCTGTTCGGGTACTTGCGAGGCCTCAGAATGGGCCGCAGCGGCAGGTGGTGTGGGTTATAGGCAGCGGCAGCGGCTGCGGCCGAGCTGCTGCCAGGCAGCCGGGGACCCTCACTGCCTCCACTGGCCCCTGGCCCTGTGGCCCCAGCACTGGGACCCGCCAGGGTAAAGTTGCGAATGGTGGAGAGTGGAGTGAGTGGAGGAGGGACTCGCAAGGAGTCCAGAGGGCAGGGAAAGGGTTTGCGGTCTGGGCCAGCTGTACCATGTAGGTCTCTCTGGCACTGTGATGGGAAGAATCCAGGATAGTCGGGGATCATGGGAAAGAGACCCGGGTCCGTGGCTGGCTTAGGGGAGGGGTAGGAAGGGGGTGGTGGGTAAGCCAGAGAGGAAGAAGTGGAGGTGGTGGGTGCTGAGAGGAATGCCGAGGGGTCCTGGTAGAGGTCTGCTGCACAGCCAGAATAGGGAGGTGGTGGTGGTGGAGAGTAGAGGTGGTCCAGGTCAGGCTGGGTCTGAGACATGGTGCACACCCCCAGGGGTCCTGTGGCCAGTGGATTGGGGGAGGCAGAGGTGACGCTGGATGAGGCTGTGGTCGAAGCTGGGGAGGTAACCCCTTGCAGGATGCCTGCACTCACAATATTGATGATGCCTTCTGGGTAGCAGCTGGCACCAGGGTACTGGGGGTCAATGGAGAACTTGCCCATGTACGTGAAGGTCTGATTTCTAGGTGCAGAGACAGGAGCAAAGCTGCTGGGATATGGGAGATCCAAGGACCTCTTCTCTCCAGTCATGTCAATGTTGATCATGCCATCTGGGGAGGGAAAAAAGGAATGGAGGCGGAGCAATGAGAATGCAGCCCAGAATCCCTTCTGGTCCACTCTCA